TTGATTCTGTAGAGTGTTTAAGTCAAGAGGGCTTTAGGCGATGCAAGATTAAAAATGGCTACTGCATGTAAAACCATGCTCTCTTCTTCCTTGTAGCTTGTTGGTGTTCGTATTCCAAACCACCCTTTTATTAGGGAGTTGGCACGAGCTTGCTCTGGACCACTGGCTCTAACAAGTGCTAACATCAGCTGTCAGGCGAGCACGCTGACTGTTTCGGTAAGGCTGTTTTTGCCATTAAGTGACGTTATTGCAGTAGTCTGTCAGAGCCCCAGGCTCTCACAATTGGAAGCCAGCTTTAGCAATAAACAAGGATGTCTCTGCTGTTGTCTTCTTTTTTTTTTTTTTTTTAATACTGATAATCTGTAGTTAAAACGGCCTGCGGATATGTGGTGTGGGGTAGCTGTCTTGCTGTGATCCTCATCTTAAAAAGCAAGGAGGGCAGAGCTGAAAAGTGATATTTGAAGGCTTATATGCAGCTTTTGAAGTGGGTGCCAAATGTGAAAGATGGAAATTGCTGCAGGAGGGATGGCTGTGGAATGAGACTGCTGCTGTCTGTAGAGCTCTGCAGCCTGGTAACTAACTGTCATTCAAGGAGATGTCTTTTTGCAAAGCTTGTGACCTTGGTGATGGTATAGTTGGGCATAGTACCAGACAGACACCCTGTCCTTTCCCCCATATGTCTTGATAGACTTCTAGCTTTTTTTGGTGTGCTCCTTAATAAACAGTGGTGCAGCTAAGAAGTCTTCAACCAGAGAATCCTTCTGGCTATCCTGCATGTCTGAGATAAATCTGTTCTCAGAAATCAAACTGGGATGTATTCATGACAGGAAAAAAGTGAGTTGACCTGACAGAGGAATGGGAGAGACTACCTCCCCTGACACCAGAACGTCCAGTAGTGTCTGTTTAAAACACCATCACAAACCATATTCAGGACTGTTAGCCACATCTCTTTTTTTTCAGGAATTCCAAGATCTGTGGCCTCAGTTGTCCGTAATCATCGATGGAGGCCCAATAGGGGATGTCCAGAGCCCAGAGTGCCGTTTGGGGTCAACTGTGGTTGACTTATCTGTGTCGGGGAAATTCACCATCATTCGTCCTGGCTGGTGAGCACTCTGCTGAATATAACTGTACCTTTTTCTTTACTTTAAATGAAATGCAGCTTTCAAGTTAGGGTGGGTTGTGTTTTGCTTCTTTTCCCATAGCAGTTGAACCTTCACACTGATGTTGTTTAGCTTAATTACCAGCACGCTCAGAAATCCTGAAAGGGCGCTCCAAATTCCGAGCCCAGGAGACCCCTTTCTGGAAGCATCTCCGTGAAACACTCTAGTTTCTGGAGTATATGTTCTCCTTGATTCAAAATGCGATTCTGCGTCTAGCTGATTACTCTTTCCCATAAAATGCGGTTTAATCCTTAAAAGCCTTTTTTTTCTGACGCTTCTGTTTGACCCCACAGTGCACTGACATCTACGGTTGAAATCCTGAGGCAGAAGTATGGCTTGATACCAGAATCATCCTAAGACTTCAGACTCTGAGGAGACTGCAGAGCTGGTAAAGCTGGGCACCGTGTGCCTGTGCATTCAGGAAATGGGTGTTCATGGCCTTGTTTAATAAGGTCAATGGGTTATATCAAGGTTAATAAACAAAAGATTAAAAAAAAAAAACAACAAAAAAACAAACCAAAAACCAGAGCAACAGTTGATGGGTATCTGTTAATTAGTATCACATCTGCTATACTCTTGAGAAACCAACCCAAATGTGTATGGTGACCTCTGTGCTTCTGTACCATTCCCAAATACCTGTCTGTTTTATTAACATGATTAGGCCTTTAAAATACAGTAATTTGAATGTTAGACTATTCTCAGGATGGGATGATGAAGACAGCATGTGATCCACCCTCCCCTTAGCACTTATGCCATGTGTTTGCTTATTGTATCTGTGCTGAAAGAAGAGCAAAGATGGAAAAGAGGTTTTTTGAGCTTTCATGACGTTATAGTTATGGTGTCCTCTGACTGTTTTTCTCCATTCTAAATGTAATCAAAACCTACTACTGAGGTGAAACTGTAAGTGCTTTTGAAAATTAACAGTATTCAGATGGTCCCTGTCTAGACAAGAGCTGCTCAGAAAGACCTGACTTCCTTCTAATACAAAGAATGAAAACAAGCTCTTAGCGTGCTGATCCTCATTTTTTAAAATGTGGACTTCCCTCTCTTGATTTTGTTCTGAAAACAGTGCTAAGCTGAAGTAAATAGGGAATGGATTAAAGTTTCTTCTGGTATTTGTTCTTCATTGAAAAGTAAAAGTTTATGGAGCTGCTATTAATTTAAAAACTGGTAAGCGACTTGCATGATTTTGTTATAAATGCTTATTTTTAGATATTCTTGTCCATCACTCTTGACAGACTTAGGTGCTTAGCAAGAATGTGTATGGAGTTGTCATGAATAGAACCTTGTTTCACATCCAGAGCTGCCACTTCTCATTTTATTGATATAGACAAGTATAAATTAATTTTATGGCTAATTTAGAAGGGTCCAAGCATGGCTAAAATCACAAAAAAAAAGGAAAGCCACTGGGAGCTGAACTTCTTTCAAAGCACAAATTAATGGTGTTTTCAGTTACATTTTTATTGCAAATATTTTTTCTCCTTGGTTCTAAAGGGGATAAAGCACCTTCAGATGTAAATTTCCAAAACATGGAACACTAAACAATCAGTTAAGTGCTTTTAGTATAGATGGTTGCATTTCCTTGGTTTCCAGCACACACAGTGGTAGTAAGTAGTCTCTAGTGTTCAGCTCTAATTGTCTTTAGTTACTTGGATACAGTGGACCACAGTGACAACGCCCACCGCAGAACTCCGTGGTATAGGAGAGGTTGGATAAAGTGGAGGGTATGTAACAGCATGGCTTAGTTTCACCTGCAGTAGACAATTTGGAGGAATATTTACTGCTCTTTACAGTCAGCTGATACAGAAATGCTCTGACAGAGTTGCTAGTGGAGTGAAGGATATGCGATCGCTGCAGGCAGCAGGCCAAGGGCATATGGTGAAATGCATGCTGGAACCCAGCTAACCACGTTGAACGTCACAGAACATACACATGGTAAGAAAAAACAGATCTTTGGCCCCTAAGCCAGCACCCCTTGTGGGTGTTGTATGTCTTCCAGAAAAATTAGATTTGACTGCTGCTTGCAGATTTCCTGCTCTCTGTAACACTTCCTCCTGTGAGTCCGTAGCTGGGGCTTACGCGGGAGCTGGAGCCGATGTCGTCGGGCGGGCAAAAAAAAAGTTCGCCGGGAGCTGGAGCCGATGTCGTCGGGCGGGCGGTGGCGGCCGCGGGGGAAGGCGGCCGAGACCCGGGTGTCCCAGTGCCAGTACCGGCCCTCGAAGCACGGGCTGCCGGACCAGGCGCAGTAGAAGCCGCGCAGGTCATAGGAGGGGCTGCCG